ACTAGTTGATTTTATTCAATTTCTTCCAATAATTTTGAATAATTTAATTTCATAGAAAATTCTCATTTTCTACATGATAATATTTTTAATTTTAAATTTATAAAAAAATATTTTAAATGAAAAAATACAATATAATATTTAAAATTCATTCTACACATTTATTTAAAACTTAACAACAAAATTAAACAAGAAAATGACTAAAATTCAACAAAATAATGAAAACTTATTTCAATGATATCTACAATTCAACACAATTATTTCTAAGTGATAATACTTGTGATCCTAAATTCACAAAAACATTATTCTAAATGGAATAAATACAAACTAATAATTAAAATTAATTCTATACATTTAATTGAAATTGAACAATAAAATTGAGAAAAATAAAAAAAAATCCATAAAATATTGCAAAAATTATTTCAATAACAACTAAAACTCAACAAACTATTAATTCATAAAATTATTACTAACAAATAATTGTACAAAACAAAGACAAAAAATAAAAAATAATGCAAAAAAAAATAATGGATAAGAAATGAAAAATTCTTACCTTAATGGTGTGTTTAATTTTGGAGTTAAATAAGGTGTGATACAAAAATAACAAAATAAATGAAAAAAATTATTAAAAAACCCAAAACAAAAATTTAGAAAAACAACATACTAAGTTTATTGTGTTAAGAGAAGAGGAAGCTTGATTTCTTTAAGGATTAAGAGATAGAGTAGCAAAGAAGAAAAAAGAAGAGTAGTGTTTAATCAAGAGAAGAAGAGAGGACAAAATGAAGCATCGTCTATTGTGTCGGTTAAGCTTTTATATTAGCTTCTATGGACGGAATTCCTAATGGACAATTAAATATTATTATTTTTAAATGTTTTATCAGTGATTCCATTTGCCAAGTCAAAATCTCATTCCATTGGTGATTCTACTGGAAACAATAAGACCATTAATAGGCATCACCTCCATGGGAAAGGAGCAATTCCCAACAAACTTTGTAATAAAATTGACAAAATATAAAACGTACCCGTTAAAAAAATCATTATTTATTTCATCACAAAACACCTAAGTTAAAAATTCAACATAAGTTTTATCAATTTACAAACAAATATAATTTTAAAAAATCTAAAATAAATCCTATTATGTACAAATCATAAATCCATTTAATAAATTTGTTTAATAAAATAATATAAAATAAATAAACACCCAAACAAAATTTATATACTACAAAAATATGTAAAAAAAATTAACATTTTAAAATTATGTTCAAATTTTAAAAAAGGATAAATTTGCTTACTTAAGGTGGAGAACCCTCAATAAAATTTGAATCAGAACATGGATGTTAACAAATCAAATGTTGTGATAGCTGAATTTGTTGATAAAGGTTGAATTGTGTTGAGATTGGAGAAACGTGTAATTGTTTGTTGCAGAAAAAAATACACAAAGAAGAAGTAGAAATGAGGAAGAAGGAGAGGTGGGTCTGGTGTTAGATCATAAACTAAATATTATCAATGGAGGACTGATAGAATTATTCTAATGGTAACGTCGTAGGCAATTCTATTGGTAGAAAGGATATGTCACCTACGATTTTCCTTCTTTAATCTCTCTATAATACTCTTTGTAATGTCACCGATATATACCGACAGAAGTTTTCCATCAACATATTCGTGAATGAATTTTACTGTTAGGTTAATTTTGTTGGTAACTTTATTTATAAATTTTACACGTCATTATACAGTTTGGATTTTTTGAATTCCTTCTTTTCCCACCGTGATTCCCTTGGTATATACTTTGGGAATATTCCTATAGGTATTTACCAAAAAATTTAGCAACGGAAAGTCTGGTCGGTAAATGTCATCGCAATATACCAAAAAAAAAATTTCATTGGTGTTTTCATTTGTATTTGTCAATTTTTTGATAATGAACGAAAATAACAAGAATTAACAAAAACAAAATCACATTCAAATGCTTTCAAATTTTGTTGCTCTAGTTCTTTAGGATTCATAATAGTTAGTATATGACTTGTTTGTTTCCTCATCATAATATGCTTTCATTCAAAAGTTTCATATTTTTGGGTTACTTTATGATGAACTAGACATCCTATCTTTAGACAATAAGGCTAGTTCAAAGATAAGTACTGTAGTTACTAAAAACAAAAACAAGGCATTGTAGTTATGTCATTCTCATGAGATAATATGATATAGGTGGTTCTGATTATTTATGGGTATTTTATAACTAGACTACGTGGATAGTCTTGTAAGAATATTTGTTGATTGATAGGATAAAATTAGGTCCAAGAAAAAGCTTTGGTTATATGGAGTAATTGGCCAAACAAAAAAAGCTTTGACTTTTCAATACGATAGTTTGGATCGAGGTCAAATTTTTCTAGAAAGTTCTCAAGGCTAATTGCTTCTATAGAAGCGTTAGCTTACTATAACTATCTAAGGTCCACAAAACTCTCAAATTAAGACTCTTAAATTAGGTGTAGAAGATTTTATTTTGGCTAACTTTGTTGTTTTTCCTCTTTATTTTTTAATTTTTTTAGTTTGTTTAGGATTTTTATTGTTTTTTTACTAGGTTTTCTAGTCTATTTAGATCAGTTTTTAATTTTATTTAAGGAGATATAAATCTCTTACAAAGATAGGTTATTTGAAAAGAAATATTTAATTATAAAATTTTAAATTAATTTTTTTTGTGAAATAATTTTATTCAACATAATTCTATGTTTAAGAAGTTATTGCTGTCTTTCTTGAATGGTTTCGCCTACATCGTAATATAACAAACTGACTTATATCTACTCTCTTTACAAGTTATTTTATATGCATGTTTGATAACAAGGTATATGTGTTTTTATGTAAATGTATTTGTTTCTTGAAAAGTATCAAAATTGATTTTTTAAATAATATCTAATGATTTTGACATATATATATATATGTATATATATATATATTCAAAAACACTTGGAAAAACCATGAATTTGATGGCTTTTGAATCTAAAGAAGCTTCGAAGTGCACTGTAGTAGTGTTTTTAACTGTGACTTCCAACTCAACTCCACATTCGTAGAACAAATAATTAAGGAGACAAGATCACAAGGCGTCACTCTAAAACCCAAGTAAGAGCTCAACACGTGCTTCAGACTTCTATTCTATTAACAGAAGCACAAAAGCACAAGAAGATGCCACCGCTCCCTGCTCTATTTATTTGGCAGGGAGCGGTGGCACCCACAAGGCAGCAACAGCCTGGTGAAAATCCAACCACGATAGATATGGATCCAAGTAGTGGTACGACATGTACAAACAAAATCAAAAGCAATCAACCATCTAGTGGTGGCCAAGTGATAAGAATTTGAGATCAAAGAATTTACTCTTTCTGTGGTCTCAGGTTTGAATTAAGTAGTGGTACGACATGTACAAACAAAATAAAAAGCAATCAACTATCTAGATGTTGGTCAAGTGGTAAAAACTTGGAATCAAGGGGTTTGTTCCTTCTGTAGTCTCAGGTTCGAATCCTTGGTTGCTCATATGATAGCCACTGGAGGCTTACATGGTCGTTAACTTCAGGGCCCGTGGGATTAGTCATAGTGCACGCAAGCTAGCCAGACATCCACGTTAATCTAAAAAAAATCAAAAGCAATCCTTTAAACTAGCCTATCTCACACCCACGTTAATCTAAAAAAAATCAAAATCAATCCTTTAAACTAGCCTATCTTTGTTCTTGCCATTGAACCATGAAAGCTAAAAGAAAGAAAAAGGTATTCCCCCACTAGCTTTCTTGGCCCCATTAGGTAAACCTTTTTGTATACAGAAAGAAAGAAATCCTTAAAATCATTCCTCAAAGTGTTGTATCTATTAAATAACAGTTCTGTTAACAATATCTGCAGTAAGCAAAATTCACACCAACCTAGTTAGCATTTGAATTTTCAGCATTTTCATCAAGTACCAACATTACATTTTATATTACCACAGATTCTTTTGAAGATCACAGCTTGCAGACCAACAAAGCAAGGGATCTTTAGCACACCATTTCCATATCCAACTTTTATATAATTTACCTGTCGATGGATAATTAAAGACCGGTGCCAGATAGTGTCCCATCTGAACAACATAACAGATAAGATTGTTGAGGTTAGTATAATCATGGGCAAGATGCAACTACGTCACATGGAGTAATACAGAGTTGTGCCTTACAGTTGGAAGGAGTGTCGTGTCCTCCCATTTAGTGGGGGTTTAATAACATAATTAGCAGCTATTTACATGATTATGGAGATGCAGACAGATCATTCAGCTTATGATAAAAGAAACAAAAAACTATTATCTAAGGTTGTTTCAGCATGCTTCTCCACTGCAGATACAATCAAATTGTCATGGCAGAAACAAAATAAATCTAAGATCCTTGTTGTATAATTGTATGGAAACGAGTATATCTGAATGGAACACATCCTGAAGGCCAAGAAAAAGAAAAGGGTGGAAAAACAAAGTGAGTTTTGCTACAAAGGGGCCAATATTTAGTGTAGTGACTAGCTAGCTGCATATCTATTAGCTGAATTGTGCTCAACGTGAATTGAGTTGAGTCTGACTCAAGAAATTTTGAAATGTATATCCCTTTAGTGGATTAAAACAAGTGAGTCAGATTGAAAATGGAAAATTGAAAACTCTATCTTATAGACAAGTGTACAAAAGCTCATTTGAATTGACTTCCACAACATATTTTTCCATGTCACCTCTGGCCAAGGAAACTTCACGAGTCCTTCCTGAGAAACTGGGTCCCTGACAGCATTTTCAGGTTTTGATTCATGAAATGAAATTTCCACTTGACATTTTCTGAATGGAAGAAAGTGGATGGCCCCATTTTGATAAGAAGGCCCGTTAAAATACAGAAGGCACAGTGGAGCATCCATATGCTAGAGAAACACGAGATAAAGGCCTGCCTATTGTATGCTAAAACCCTAGGAATATTCTTAATTGTGATCTCATTATTGTAATTATTGTATAAAAAACCAAGTGGCAAGTTCAAACTTTTCCGTTATATATAGCTACCAATATGCAGCCATCTCCAAATAACTCTGTTCTGTCTTAACCCTCCACGGTCCAAACTATCTGAACATGTCTACTTCTACTTCAACAACTCATCAACTCTTTCAAGGTTTTCTTGGGGATTTCTACTCAAGAAGACTGCTATTACATACCCCTCTTTACCAATCATCAAACACGGCAACTCCTCCAGCTCCTGGAAACACTGCCTCGTCTGAACCTTACACTAGCACTGACAACAGCTTTGATGCAAATGTTGTTATGGTTCTGTCAGTCCTGTTATGTGCACTGATTTGCTCACTTGGACTAAATTCCATCATCAGGTGTGCATTAAGATGCTCTAATTTGGTAGCTTCAGAATCTGCTGCAAACCCCTCGACTCAGGCAGCGAACACTGGAGTGAAACGAAAAGCATTGAAGACTTTCCCAATAGTAAGATACTCAACTGACTTGAACCTGCCTGGTCTTGACACACAGTGTGTAATCTGTCTCTCAGAGTTCACACCAGGTGAACATGTTCGGCTTCTGCCCAAGTGCAACCATGGATTCCATGTCAAATGCATTGACAAGTGGCTTAGCTCCCATTCATCCTGTCCTACATGTAGGCACTGCCTGATAGAGACCTGCAACAAAATTGCTGGTTGTAGCCAAGCTAGCACATCAGGACCTACTTCACTACCAGTACAAGAAGCCATTGTCAGTATATTGCCCTTAGAACCTGAAGGTTTGATAAGTAATTATAGGGGTTAATTAGTTAAGTTTCTATTTTTTTTAGTTTTAGTTGTATGATATTTTTAGCCCTGTACCTTGAAGGATGGCACTAGCTAGAAGGCCTTTGTCACAGGTCACAGGCTACCATCCACAAGATCAGTGCAGATGTAATTTTTCGTAGTTTAAAATTGTTTAAGTGCAATTTTTCTTCCCTCACAATGTCGAAAACAGTAGTTCCACAATCAGAATTACGGGCCAAAACCAAAAACTGTAGGACCTGGAACCCTGCAGCATCCCTCCAATACCTAGCTGAAAGTGAATAAAGTAGCTGGCTATAAGAAACTGACAAGGAAAATCACTGAAAAACTCACTTATCCTAATGTGGGAGGCTAGTCAGGTAAGTGAATTAACGAAACTTTTGTTCTTTACTGATAATAAAAGAATGTCAAATTTCCCTAGTAGTGCTTTTTACGCCAATTCTTGCCTATTTGGGGCATAGCAGCATTATAATACTATTTCCCCACCAACTTAAGCTCAAAAGCAATCTACAGCAAGGGGAACGGGCTCGTGGCCTCATTCTAATGGCTCTTGAAAAGACTTGTAAACATAGCAATCTTGTGTAAAACAGTACGTTCATCCAATCAAAAGAGCATTAAAAAAAAAGCAATGGAAGCTGATGATGAATCCAACACCTTCTGATCAGATCTAATGAAAGCATACTTAAAGGGGATCTTGTATCATAGTACTAAAACTCGAAATAACACTCTAGCTAGCCTGGTGCCAGGAAAGGTGATTAATTTGTAAAAGAATTGTGTAATGCGCAATGGTTATTGAACGTGGGACATTGATTTGACTGTAATGCTAAAATGACCCTAAAGATAGGCTAGCCATGGCATTGCATGATGAACAACACAAAGGAGGATGCAATCACATTGCTGCTAGCGAAAACAAAATTTCTGAAACATATCTCAAAATGACATTTATGCCTCTAACTTCGCTACCAAAGACTAACGTCAGATTTCAGGTTCGATATCGAGAAAGCAAAATGAAGTATAGTGCGTTGAAGCCACCAGAGGAAGAAGATCTTCAAGTAAGTAATTAGCATCTTGAGGTAGCCCACTAGTAGGGGTAGAATTGAGGAGCCAAAGATCTTCCATGTTCTTGATGCCTTAATAAAATATTTAAGATAGATTTTCATATAATCTTAGCCCATAAAGGTGCGTTATGAAGAAACACCTTTTTTTTCCAAGAAAAGAGAGGTGTCGCTCAACATCAATTAATGGTTTGTTTTATAGAATGAGGATTACATATCACTATTTCATGCAGTAGGATATATCAACATTCAGATATCTATTGTCAATGGATTACATGGAAAGCTTTACCGATTAGATAAACAGATCTCAATCTAAACATAGATATGTCACGTCAAACAGTATATCTAATAAAATAATTATGTTTTTGATCTGATTATTGTACTGTGTTCAATTTTCATTGATAGATTTTGTCTTTTTATTAGGGCCAACTTATTACGCAGCTCAAGAAAAGAAAAGAAAAAAACTTTAAATTAGACCTAAAAAGATTATGTTTCAATCAATTTTATTATTTTTCTGTTTAATTTTAAATTTTCAGTCTTAATTTAGCTTTTACTTTTTCTACGTTATTAGGGTTTTATTCCTTTGTTAAATTCAGTTTTGGACTTGATTAAAGAGCTGTAATTCTTTTCACTGAAAGGATATTTTGGCAAAATAAATTATTGAGAAATACAATACAATTAGGGTTTTTGTTTTTCGCCCATTTTTCATGAATTCTATGTTCCTTTGTTTTTTTCTTTTTTAATTATTCCTAATCTTCTTAGGTTCAGCAGCATCACTATCATTCATAATCATCCATTTATCTACCCAGATACTATCTAGCTTATTCTGGAGTGTAGAAATATTATAACTCAACATAATAATTTAAAAATAGTTTCCACCCCACAGAAACAGCAAATATTATAAATTTTAAATTAATAAAACTAAAAGAGATGGGGGAATTCACCATTCTCCAAGAAACAATTCACTGTTGATGAAATAGTTAATTCCCCATGTTTTTACCCTTCTCCAAGAAACAATTCACTGTTGATGAAATAGTTAATTCCCCAACATGTTTTTACCCACGAAAAAAATAATATTTTGCCTAGAGGATGAGAGATGAGAGCATGATTGTCTTTTTAATTAGATATTTTAATATTTTAAAATTTAATTTTAAAATTTTAGTGTAAATTATCATAAATATTCTTAAAATTAATGTATTATCTGGTATTATTTAAGGGTAAATTCATATTTTTATTATAGAATTTACAGTAAAGTTACTAATCTGTTCTTGTAAATAAAAAACCTTTGACCGGTTAGGAGGGGTGTTAGCGTCTTATCCTTTGTATTTATATAGTAAAAATATCTTATTCCCTTGGTTTTAGTTTTTTATATCTTAGATATAAGAGTATTTTTGTTATTGTAGTGTTGGTTTTTTGTTATTATTAGATAAAATAATAGTTAATTTTATCTTTTAATAAATTAAAGGGATTTTAAAAAAATATTGACATATACTGAACACAAGTCAACAAGTCAACCACTCTATTATTTTTTGATATGAACACAAGTCAACAAGTCAACCACTCTATTATTTTTTGATAGCGCGTGTAATTGATTCTAACAATTAAAAATATCATTATATGACATCATTATATTCGTATCAATATCTTTTCCATGTTAAGATAGCATGTATAGAAAACAAAGCTTCAATTTAGCTTCGATAGACATTTCTTTCTTTCTTTTTTTCCCTATCTCTCCCATGAATTTTGCACCCTACCCTGCAATTTTTCAAATCAGACTCTTAGTATCACTTTGTTTTTTATTTTGTTCCTGATATTTTGGTTGATATTTATTTTATTTCAAATAACTTGTAAAAATCAAAATTTTATTCAATTTCATTCTCATTTTTTTTTATTTTTTTTACATCTCTTTGTTTTTTATTTAGTCCTTGATTTTTTGGGTTAATATTTATTTATTTGAAATAACTTATGAAAAATAAAATTTGTTTCAATTTCATTCTCATTTGATTTTTTAAATTTATCTTATTTAGTCTTTGTTTTTTTAATTGCAATTTATATCACCTAAGATAATTTTTATAATGTAATTTATTTATTTATTGTTTTTTTTAGATATATTTTCTCAAAATAATTTTTTTAATTAAAAAGAATTGATTAATTAAATATAAATAAATAATCACTTCATTATGTTTTATTCAGTTTGTTTTTACAATGCATTGCTTTAATGAACCCTTCAACTTCTTTTGATGTCCTCTTGCATTCTTTTATAGTTGAGTTTAAAACCACTCATCAAGCTTTTTTGGTTGTAGATAATATTTATTGTAGTGGGTCTTCAATAATCTTTTTTATTTCTCCTTATAAATATAATATTGATGGCTCATTTCTTTTATTTATTACTAACATATGTTTTTTTCCTGTTTGCTTTTTGTTGTTGTCTTTGATTTAAATCAAATTATTATTAAATTAACTAATTTTATTGAATATTGTCAAGTTAATGACCCGAAAATCTGGATCTTCTTGCTTCTTTCAGAACACAATCACCTCACAGTGTAGACACAATCACCTCACAGGTTCTAGTCTAGTAATAATTAACTAATTTTATTGAATATTGTCAAGTTAATGACCCGAAAATCTAGATCTTCTTGCTTCTTTCAAAACACAATCACCTCACAGGTTCTAGTCTAGTAATAATTAACTAATTTTATTGAATATTGTCAAGTTAATGACCCGAAAATCTAGATCTTCTTGCTTCTTTCAAAACACAATCACCTCACAGGTTCTAGTCTAGTTAGTTTCTATTACACGATGAAAGATTGTTTCTATTAGGGTTTATTTGGAAACATGGTAGAGATTATTTTTTAAAATATTTTTTTATTTAAAAATACATTAAAATAATTTTTTAAAAAATAAAATATTTTTTTATTTAAAAATATATTAAAATAATTTTTTAAAAAATAAATTTTATTTTTAATACTAACCCATCAAAACAATCTAAAAACATTAAAAAAAACTAATTTAAAACAAAAAAAAATCAAAATTTTTTAAAAACATGATTTTACCGCATTACCGATTACACTTTATCGCCGTCTCACTCTAAATGACTTTCAACAGAGGTGAGAGAGGACAAGAAGAAAATCAAAGACAGTGGAACACCAACCATAAACAGAAATGCCCATCTGACAGTCAAGCCACCCACCTAACCCATACACGGCCTCTTCAAAATTGACCAGGTTCGTCATCGTTGTTGCTGGAGTAACGAAAGGAAGCACAAAGGGGCTCAGGGCATCAACCGGCCAGTTCAAATGTGTGCACCAAACAACACGCTGTAACTCTATGATCTGGGGAACAAAGTTTGTAGACAAGAATCAATCCAGCATGTGAGTTCATGCAGTCAAGACTTGCAAATCCTGTGACTCGGTTTCCAACTCAAGCACAAATTCTACCGGCTGCTCGAAGACTCATAGTTTTCACCACTCGCTAGGATTTCGTATACACTTGAATCAAATAAATTCCAAGAACCGATCAAGGTAACTATGCTAGCGAAACTTGAAAGTTGACGAAATATTGGTACAGCAAAAACCTCAACAGAAATAGTAGCTAGCATCTTTGTATGGCTCCCAAATGTATAATGCAAAGTTTACCCATCCCATTTGTTCAATAATCTCGTATCATTATAAAATCTAAGTGGAGAAAACAATTGGATTGGTATCAACTTCGTCCCCTATCAATTTTAATTTTTCAAAGGAGATTGTTAGAATTTTATATAAAATGGCAGGTTTTATATATAAAGAAATTCGTGATCAAATATGGATAGATTAAAAAGAACAAGACTTGGGAGAAATTTTTTACATAAAAAATTATTTGGAGGAAAATTAAGACCATAAATATTACATGTGATCCGCTTTAGTGGATTGACTCGGAGAATTTGTAACTTAAAGTTGATCCAAGACTAGTTTCAAATTGAACAAGTTTTGACATTAATTCGGTTAAACTCGTGTAACTTAGCAGGTTAATTTGTGATAATTAACTTAGTTAAATAATACCATGTTAAAATTAAAATAAAAACAAAAATTAAAATAATATATTTTAAATAAAATGCTAAACCCATGTTAGTGATTTTTGAAT